AAAAAAAAACAGCAAATGTAACCCATTCTTTTCATTTTGGCTTTAGGGGATTTCTCTCACTTTCTACTGAAACAGGTTAGGGAATTATGATTATTTATTTAAGGATGTGTGTTATATGTCATTCACTATTTCCAGGTTAAAATTTAACACACAAACTGTCCTTTATTTACTTATTTATTTATTTTTAGAGATAGGGTCTTGCTCTGTTGCCCAGGCTGGAGTACAGTGGTGTGATCATAGCTCCCTGCAGCCTTGAACTCCTGGGCTCATGCAATCTTCCTTCCTTAGCCTCCCAAATAGCTGAGACTATAGACATGTGCCACCATGTCCAGTTAATTTTTCCTTATTTTTTATAGAGTTGGAGTCTCAGTATGTTGCCCAGGCTGGTCTCAAAATTCCTGGCCTCAAGCAATCCTCCCATCTTGGCCTCCCAAAGTGCTGAGATTATAGACATGAGCTAACATGCCCAGCCCAGACTGTCCTTCAAAAAGGTTGTATTGATATATAGTTAATTCAGCAATGTTTGAGAGTGTTTCTTTCCATCCTGGATAAAATTCCATGGTTTGTTATTTCTTTTATCCTAGTAAATTGGATATTTTTTTTTATTAGCTACACTTTTTATTAGCTACACTTAACTTCTTTTGTGAATTAGCAGTTCATTTCTTTTGTCCATTTTTTATGGATTATTTCTTTCATATTGATTTATATACCTCTTTATTAAGTCTTTCCTTAAATATTGAAATATTTTTTCAGGTTTGGCTTTTAACTTTGTTTACTGTATTTTTCTCCCATAATAAGAAGTTCTTAAAATATAGTCACATATATTATACCTATTATAATATTTAATAGTCTCTGTTGCAATCATGGTTAGCAAGTCATTCCTAATAAAGATTGCAAAAACACTCATCATGGTAAGACTTTTAACATAGCTTCTGATATGTTACCAAATGAAACTTAAATTCTGTGGGATATATAATAGCCATATGTAGCTATAAAATATATAATACATGCACAGACAAGGAATATTTATTTGGCATCTACTGTGTATTCCTTGCTAGCATACTCTTCTTAAAATTTCTTATGTCTTTATTCCCACACTCTATTCAAATCTGTACTCAAAGGTCATCCACTTTCTAAATATACTTTCTTTAATAACCCCCCTTCATCATTTTCTTATCTCCTTATCCACTTTACTTTTCTTTATAGCACTTACTACTACTTGAAATTAAATTATATATTCATTTACCTATTTGTAGGCTTCCCAACTAGAATATAAGTCCCAAGAAGGATATCTGTATTGTTTATCTATATTCCTATTGACTAGAATAGGCCTTGGTACAAAATTGACACTCAATGAATATGGGTTGAATAAATAAATGAATGATTTAATAAACGAATGAAGTCACTGTCCCAGATACATTGTGAGAGTAGAAAGAATAGACCATAATGTAAGAGCCACCTTACCTCCAACAGTTTCAGATTATCTAGGTCAAGAGAGGGCTCTGATGCTGCTGCCTCCATCATGTTCATACTGTGAAGACCTTGTTTACGGTCTCCTATAGGAACAGGAAAAAGAAATTACTAATGTGTGATTTTCTTAAAACAAAGACCTTCATTACACTTTTTATTCAATTACAGTTAACAAGAAGAGTTGCAGAAGGGCTGGCAGTAAGACTTATGATAACCTAACATCAATGGGAGTAAAACTAGGAAACATCTATAAATGAAGATGAATGATAAATACCATGAAAGCTGAATTCTGGGAGATGTTTCCACCATGGCTAGTTTAAAAGTTTAAAACCCTGAAAAATATTGCAAAAACTTTAAAGAAGATTTTATTAAAGTTATTCAAATGAAAGCATGGGTGCTGATTTCCTAAACAGCCCATCAAACCTGAAGTTTATTAGAACCAACTGGAATTTGATGATACTGGGAAATTTCTGTTATTTTTCTTCAGATGTGAAAATAGGATTATGTATGGTATCTGTGATTCGCTTCAAATAATCCAGTGGCATGGAAAGGGGTAGTGACTGCTGATTCAGATGAAACAATATTGTCCCTATGTGATAATTGTTGAAGCTGGGTGATAGGTATTTGGTGTAAGTTTGAAATTTTTCATAAAAACTGTGGTAAAAAAGTTTGTTCAAGAGAAGGATGGTACCTACCATAGCACACAGCTTTTCTTTTCTTTTCTTTTTTTAGCATTTACCATAGACATTTTAAAAAGGGGAAAATAAATTTTGATTAGATAGCATGTTTAATAAATGTTAGAACAAAAAGTAGTATTTTTTACCTGTCAACATTCTGTATCCAAAGCATAAGGCAACTATCAAAACAGCTAGTACAGAGACTGAAGCCAAAGCAATGATTATTGTCTCATCTCGGTTAAATGAATGAGGTGGACCTAAAAGAAAATAAATTTAGAAACACTGTAATCCTTTTTTTTTTTTTTTTTTGTGAAATATTGAGTGACTGCCTTTTAGAAAGGCTGTATCAATATATATTTAAATCAGTGATATTTCTGTATTAATGGAAATGAAAGAAAATATATTAATAAATTTATGATAATTACAAATTATATATTTTTTAATCATACAGACTATCTCACATAGATTTGGAACACTGAAAAACCTGTTTTGGGTGTGCTCCTAAATATTGATATATCAACTATATCAAGGAATGGCGCAGACAGGATTGTATAACATTTAAGAGCACAGTCTTAGAATCATATCTGGTTTTAAATCTTGGCTCTAAACCACTTGCTCAGTGGGCTTGAGCAAAATATTGAACTTTTCTGTGCCTTAGTTTTCTCATTTGTAAAAATAGTACTCTGTATCTCCCAACTTAGCTGTAAGGCTTAGATGTGAGTCTAAGTGCTTAGTATAAGAATATATTATCCATGCAATAAATAGTAGTTATGTTTATCAATACTGATTTTTTTTTTTTTTTTGAGA